TGAGTACCAGGTACGATATCGGTTTTCAGCTCTGCAGCTCAGCTTGTTCCACTTACGTTGCTACTATGCTTCTCAGCAGCGGTAAAAATAGCGTCAGTGATATAACTGGAGATGCGCGCATTACCTGTTTCCCCTATAGGACCGGAGCTCATGTCAGAGCTCTTTATCCCTTTTTGGTACAAAACCTGAGCCCAGCTTTTTCTTGGGAAGATATTTCAACACAGACTTGACGTGTTACTCATTGTCCGGGTCAAATACACACTCAAATGTCTCTGTGGATTCCTCTTGGACATGAAAGGCACGGCACATCCCGAGGGGATCGATCAATATTGTAGACATTATGTTCCTCAGTTTTCTTCATTTGCTCGGCTTTCGTAATCCGGGCTGCTCACGCTATCACTTTCCCAACATGGCTGATAAAGGCCCCATCACCGCTCTGCAACCGCTCGCGTCACTAGCTCTCACCACACTTCTTAGAATGGACGAATGAATGAGCGAACTAGCGTCTTCCTCAATGAGGGAAGTGACGTTCTTCCTTATAGTTGAGCTTCTCGGCGTCATTCCTGCTTACAAATTGAGGAAGGTTTGCTCCTTTCAATATGATGTTGTTGCCTACCACAACCTAAATGAGTGGGAAAGGGCAGCTGCGCCAGAAATAATTCAGATTTTGCACGCACTGAAGAGGCAATCTTCAAGCCACTAATAAGAGCTTTGTCAAATTAACCCTTGACATGCTAGCTATGAGCCCTATCGGACGTGCCTGGGAAGAAATCGTTCCCTCTATTGGTGTCATTGGTAGGGGCGCCCTAATTAGGACCATCAGCGTCCGCCGTCCTTTGTTTCACATTGACGTTGCCGTCTTTCAATTAGCCCAGTTTAACGCGGTTCCCATCATTGAAGGGTGAGAACGATCAAGTGCTCGGCATCAATCATGCTCTCCGGATCGCGCCGTGTAGCAAGACACAATTTCAAATTGTAGATATGTTTCAGCATGCTATAATTCGATGCAACGTAACCGACCAAGCAGGTACGGGTTTTCACCGGACCCGATTGTCTGAGTCGCATTGTTTGATGTTTTTAAAAAGAAAGAGGTGGTTAATGCGCATAGAATTGGACCACAAAGCTGAAATGACATTACTTTAGCCATTGCGCCATGCGTGCATGGCTTGGTAAGGTTACTCAATGTATAAGTTAGATTACTCTCCTCTACCCTAGCTTTTTTGAAGCGATAGCTCGGCTGGGATCCGTGCGAAGGGAAAAAAGAACTTTGTTCTCTAAAAACCAAAAATATTCGAATTGCCGACGGAAATCAGTTCGCGAAGATGGCTTAATTAGCTAATGGCTTAATTTTCATATAGACCCTGCCCGGGTCAACCGAGCCTTTCCATCTTCCAGACTTGACCAGATTAGACATTCTGGACGGGTAGAAAACACAACCATATGCAGTAACGGACCTTGCAAGTCATTGAGGCTGTGTTGAATGCCGCTACATTGCTTGATGAATGTAGAATTCGTGGCGTATCCCAAATGGGCCGATCCTTGCGAATTCCTGCACCCTCTTCGGTAAGCTAAGAGAACGTGAAGCAGATGCAAGAGGGCTGTCACCACATTCAACATTATGGATTATAGCCGGGAGTGAACTTCGCCCTGGTTACTCAAATACTCTGTCATTCCGGGACTAAATTCATTTCAGACTCGTCTGAATACAGTAGAAACACTAATTTAAGTACAGTTCACCCTTCCAAGTCGTTGATTACGCAAAACTAGCATCCAAAAGTTACTACGATTCCTAGTTGAATGCGCGGCGTACCCATAAGGGTTGATCAACGCAAGGCGTGCTATCCTTTGTTGATTTTTGCGCAGCTGATTTCAGGAGAACGACGCTGGCCTGGTGGATCCCAATGGTCTAGAGAAAATGATGGCAATTTCCCGTCGCGAAAAATGTACTGTATCTATAGTGGGAACGGTCACGGATGAGAACAGAGTACGTTTCATACTGAAAAAAAAACGTTTTTTCCGAAGATTCCAATTGTTTCAGGTTGTCTTGACCAATTTCGCAGATGAAGCTGATGGACGGAAGCCTGTGGACTTTGATACGAAAATTTTGGGGGAGCGCGAGAAGAAGGTGGTTGAAGCTTTCGCATTAGTGGGATCTTTTGCCTAGATAAGTCGATCTAAGTGTAATTCAGGTGTTCCATCTAAATTCGACACCAATGCCGTTACGACAACTTGAATTACCAGCTGGCCTTACAGTAAGACAGGCATTGGAGATGGTGCTTCGACTGCCATCAGTGGCCAGTAAACGGTTAGTTACAAAGTCTAAGTATTCACTAGACGCGAGTATCACGTAATGAGTGGTGAAGAGTTGGACACTGAGCTTCGCCACGCACCTGACTTCTATTCACTGTTGCTACTCCGTTTTAGGTTTATTCGGCACTTATTTCGAATTATCACGAGTTACTATGAAACAATATTACGAACTCGGGGGATAAGGTAACCGACTGCTTACCAAAGACCCGAGGGCCGAAAACCCGTAAAGGGGATCCTTGTTCCCTCGTTGATTTCCATATTTGTAGCAATGCTCATCACAGTCTCATAGGTGATGACATCATCAACATGAGCGCTCTACTCTGCTTCTCTGCCAAAATGGCTAGAATCCGACAGCGAGGGAGTAGGCAATAGTTGGGTGTATATAACCGTGAAGGGATTGCTGGTAGGGTCCTGTTGAGCCACAACGGGCGCACCTTTTGCAGCAAAACGTTTCTCGTCCCGCTCTCTTATGGAGGTGTGCTTCCTCTTCTAGTTTAATGTTTACCCTCCAGCAGCCTTCGATCCGTCGTATCACCTGCTTTTAGCGGCTACGATAGGTACCGCCTCTTAACCTCCCCCTCAACTCATACCCGCCATTTTGCTCGTCCTCCCATACTTTACCATTCGCTAATCCCATTGCCCTTGCCCCTTCTGGCAGCCACTCCTTCACTCGCAACCCTCTCTCCCCTCCTCCGTTCTCTATGTGCCCTCTGACCTTTCCTGGCAACCACCCCCTCCTCATCCTCTTCCTACTTGTAGCGGCCCAGAGTTTGTGTCCTTAGGAACGAGCAATATTCTATTTTTTTGATATGCCATTTTAACAACGGAAAATTTTACAGGAGTGGAATTTCTGTGAAGCAATCTTCAGCTTAGATGTTGAAAAGTTGCTAGCTCACTTCAACTGCCAATACCCTGTTGGTTTTGCGAAATTCGGATAATAGTGATGTGGGGCCCAAAAAAGTTTGATCAAAATCGTCGAGATTGCGACATGCATTCCGGACTTTCCAGACCAGGGTCAGTCCTATCGTTGTTACTTTTTCAAAAATTTTTACGACCCCCCTCCCCCAAGGTGGACTTGGTACGACCCCCTTTTCGACCCTCGACCACCATATTCCTCTCTATAGTATTTAAATTCTGGTACCACTCAACCCACCAAACTCCGCCCACTTTTTCCTCCAAAAATGCCGTCGAACGGCGGAGGGGGGGTTATATACGCTAATATAGGCTACTCAAACGGTAAAATCTCAAAATAGTTTCTACTAGTTCCTCTTATTATAAACTCGACCAGGTACGAACCCCGTTGTTACTAGTAACAACGTAGGGTAGAGCCTGTTCCGAACCCGCGAGTATGTTTCATGAGATTTAGTGCAACATGCGGCATGCCTAGATTATGTCCAGGTCAGGATGTGTTGCCATTTGAAAAAGAAAACAAACATCCGAATGAGCACACAGCCTTCTTATTGTTTTATTGAAACCGCAATTTTTTTCAGATATCTCACGAGCAAAGTGGATCGGTCGGTCAGTGACAGGTCTAGTGGCTCGCCAACAATGTGTTGCGACCACTTCATACTCCTTTTGGCGGCATGTGGCCTGGTCCGCTCTTCCTATTTTGATAAGTTATGTAGGAGTGGTGAACATGTTAGTTGGGGTGGGCGCCACCCTATCTAATCGAAGTAAAGCTGCGGAAAGACACCTAATCTGATCAAAGTGGAGTTGCGGGAAGGCACTTATATCTTATCATATCTTTCACTGAAACAGTGGCCTACGACTAGCACACTTACCCTTTGTCATAATTCTATGGCTAAAATGGCTGCTCCCCCTGCTGGCTATTCACTTTCACCAAACCTTGCGACTGCCATGCAAACTCTCGGAGGAAGGGCCTTCCAGGTATCCGATTCTGTATGGAACCCGGGTTGGTATCCATATCTAATCATACACTCAGAGATTGTGCTCTGGATGTTGATTAGATATGACCGCACTTCCGCAGCTCCACTTCGATTAGATATTGTCAGTTCATTAGATATTATGAGTGCCCGCCCCCCCCCCTCGAACTACTTTTCACCGCTAGAGTTCTACTTGAGTTAGCGGTCTTCGGTCATAGTACACCTTCGAATAGTATTTCGGGGCGCGTAGCGCATATACGAGGAATTTCACAGGACTAAGTCAAAAGGCGAAGGCGGGGCCCTATGGAAAGACAGAAACACGGCTTGACGCACCTTGAAGTCTGGATCCCACTGTCTAAGGCTTAGTCCCGTTTTCAACAAAAGCGATAGGTCTTACGCGGCTCTAAATACCCTGCCACCACAATGCCCCCGTATTTTGCGATAGCACCCGGTATTGTTTTTCTTGCTTAAGCGACAGTATCACCGTCACCTTTGCTTGCCATTGCGCCATCCTTCCGTCATATTCCTGAATGGTTAGCAGTAACGTTCGGTGTCATTCCTCCAGGACGTCAAGTGCACTCCAATGTCCAGTTTCAGCTGTACATGAGAGCTGTCGAATTGATGCCCCCGCCATTGATAATATAATATAATAGTACTACTGAATTATCAATAAAATACAGCGTTAGCAGCTTAGGTAAGGCACGAGTGGCATCGATAGTGAATGAATAAGCACGGTGTTCGGGAGAAATTAAGGCTGCTTGGCGGCCCGTCGAAGGCCGATCAATTCACCTTTGATTGAGCGTCCTTGTGGTCGAACCTAGTAGCATCTACTGTTGCTTTTCAAGTTTCCATTCACTATTGAGTTCATCAAAAGAATGGGCGGAGTCCTCATGTGGGCGTGGCTTCGTGATTGCTGTGGCAGTTGCGTTCCTAAACTCGTGATGTGTCAATGCTAGAAATACAGACACAAACCATTGTCGTGAGGACTTTAACTCAGGGTCTGCCGGCTAGGCAGGGTTGAAATAGCTGGTTAAAGAGTGTACAGATAAGTTAGGAAGGAAAGAAACTCGAAAGACGGACCTCTAAAGGGTACTGCACGACGCGCATTTCGCAGCGAGGAGTGCGCCCAACTCCGTAACGGGGCCACACACGCTCTTATGGCATGCCCACCCTTTCACCGTCTGACTCTAGCCGTCTACCAGGGAGAGCATCAGCGATAAAGAGAGAGCACCGATGAAAGTTGCATCAATGCCGTAAATCAAAAAATGCAGAGAAGGGGCCCTATTTCTCGGGTCCCATGGGTCTTCCTTCATTCCTCGCACCATGACCACCATTACCTTGATTTTCAATGGGCTGCTTATCCATCGTAAATTTCCTCCTTTAGTTCGTTTAAGTAGGTCCTCTTGTACAGAACAGTTTTCGCAATTCCGTTTTTTTGTGATTTTTCTGATTTCATTCCAATTGAATTGTCCTGAAAAGGTTCCAGTCATCATGATTTTGAAATTGTATGCACGCAATGTGCTCAATGCTGTTGTTTCGTCAATTTATGCCATTGTTTGATGTCGCTCTTTGTTGGTTTTGCTTAGCTAGCTGATCTTGTTCGGAACGATTGTTCTCTAGAACTGTTTTCACTAGCGGAATGAGAGAACACGATTAGGTAGCTTGAGCAGTACTGAGTCACAATAAACTACTGCGAACTGCCCAGGTTACATTATGAGGAAATATCTATATATACAGGGGGGGCCAAAAAAAAGACATTTTGCCTATGTCGGACTTCGGCTCTTTTTTCTTCGCAGAGATTGCTGTCGTTGACGGGAGTTCCTCAGCAGAGTATTCCCTAAGTGTCCCTCTATAAGTGAACGCAGGCCCTCCTTCACTGCCCTCACCGTCTTCAGAATATGACGTCATCTGTCACCGTCGTCAGGCTCAAGGAGGTCTACCGTAAGAGCTTCAGCCTGAAGCTCTTACGCAATTTCGTGAATCGATTTAATGTTGGATAGTTTTCTAGAGGCAGCTACCACTGTGCAAATCCCCTCGAAACTAGCTTTCCAGTAAGGGTCGTTATGGTACACGATCCTTCGAAGACCCCATTGAGCTCGACCAGTGCACCATGTTTCCAGGGCAAATTCTTCTGATGCCGTCCACGTAGGTGGCCACATGAAGATTTTCTTATAGAATGGAATGCGCTCTTTAATAATAAGTTGGACCATTCGGTCTGAATTGAGCAAAATGTGCTTAAATCCATCTGGAAGTGGAGACAAAATGTCTTTTTTTTATTGGCCCCCCTGTATAACGGTAAGCGGTGTGTCCGTCCGCAAAATGAATGTCTGACCGGAAATTCATAACTTCACCCTTTTCGAAACCCAGAGCGCTCAAACTTCTAGGATATATAGGGGCCAGAGGTGAACACTGATGACGGCTGGCGAAGTGATAACTACTGATAGGAGCTGATAACGGACGTCGAAATGTTGATGTCACCAATTCGTTGCACCGTTCGCGTTGACATGGTGGAGAGTTTGCACTCATGTATGATATGTGTGGTGAGGCGGGACCAAGAAGTTGAGTCCTCGCCCCCACCACCACGCCCCTCTCCTCGCTCCCCGCTCGCGCCCTTCCCCCAGCACACTCTGCACTCTCCGTGAACGAATGTGGTAGCAACTGATAAGAACTGATAAGGGGCGTCAAAGTGTGGATACCACCAGTTTCGTTGCGGCCCTTGCGATTACATTGGAACCTTGGCTCTCATATGTGGTATAGGGGATGGGACGGGAACACGGATAGCGGATGATCAGAAGTGATAACAAGCGATAACAGTTGATAAGGAAGTTAGGATTTTGAGTACTGCTGAATTCGTTGCAGCCTTCGTTGTGACAGTAAATATTAGCTCCTACACGTTGCTGGAGGTTGGGACCGGGACACCGATTGCTAACAGTATGAACTGATAACAAATGACAAGGAATGATAAGAGCGTTTGAATGCAGGTCTCTCCAACTTCGTTGCAATTATCACTGGCAAGCGATCAAGGTGGCGAGGGTTAAATGTAGGTGGCAGAAGTGGTATGAGCGGCAACTGTACTGATAAAAGTGCGACAGTTAAGCGTGCCTTCAGTTTAGCTGAACCAGGTTCCTAGCACGTGAATGTGTTCCATTCCTAACCTTTCATCTAAAGAAGTAAAGAAAGTTGAGCTGCTCAACTATCTGGACTTGGACCAATAGCGAATTCCATTATATTTCCAATTTCCATCACAGCTCGGTTAGATGCTGATTGATTGGTTATATTTCACTTACACACCGATTCTTCAATTGTGGAAATTCTATAAACCGCTAAATCATCCGAGCTCGATATCAATGCTAAATGTTTACGAAGTCATGATAAGTGCAATTTTCATTCCGCATGCTACTGCGCGCATTACGCTACAAATCTTCAGCAAAATTGGACAGCCTTTGAAATTCATGTGACACATCTTCCAAACATCTTACTGTTAATTTCTCAGCCACGTGACCTAATATTCAGCAAGTTGTCCAGTTTCACTAAGCCTACCATGTGATGCGCGCGGTTGCGTGCGGAGCTAAACTGGTCCTAGAAAAGCGCGGGTAATTGATTTGCGAATTTTAAGAAAAAATGAATGCAACTTATGTTTAGAAAAAGGTAAACAAGTATTCAATTAAATGTTGTTATAATTTTTTTCAAAGTTGTCCCATAGAGGGCAGGCTCACAGGTATACTCTGCGTCTCGTCTGCACTATGTAAAACAATTCTATCTATTATACTTTATTGTAATTACTATTTTGTTCTAAATATCACAGATATTACTCCGAGTTTTGAATTACAAAAAAACCTTTTTTTTTTTGGACTTTCTACAGTAGAACCCAGTTCATCGAGGTCATCCATTGCATGATTGTTAAGATCACCTAAACATACCTTTTTTCTGCGGCCAAGATGCCGTAATTGCAGACTTTGTGCCTGCATGGCATGGTCTCCGGACATCTGTCAACCGTGAGGCTAGGCAATTCAGCGTTTTGTTGTGCTGTCTGGGAGCTCTCACACAAGCGCACTATTACAGAATCTCCGCTTTCTTTACCTCCTTAAAAGGCTTAGTCCCACTACCACAAAGAACGTCTGCTTTTCCTTCTACACTCTCACCCCCTGGTTGACAGAAGCCTTGTAACCGCATGGCATTTGATCAAAAATCAAAATCACTTGAAGCGCGCGTATCCGTTGTAGGATTTAAGGCCATTCATGTTGCTGCGGCTTTTCATTGCCATCTAAAGGGTTTATACTTCATATGGGCTTTCGCACTACTCCACCCAACACAATGTGCCGCATATCGATTTGCGCACGTTCAATCAGATAATTTTTTTTCCAAGCGTGTCGTCCAATCTTACGAGGCAGTCTGTAGGAGGTTGATTGAAGCGTTTTAAAAGGACTGATGAGCGTAATAATTGAAAAGAATTACCTGATGGATATATTAGAGATCTCAATTGGCCATTAGAGAAATGGTTTTCGCCTCATTGAAATACGAGGGTGCAATTGTGCGATTCGCTTCTACTGTGTGACCTTGCACCAATCGCACTTTCTATGCCTTTTTCGAAAACGATTCACATGTCCTTGAAAGGAGCGCGAGAAGTGGAAAATACATATAGGCAAA